ATGATGATGATGATGATGATGATGATGATGATGATGATGATAATGATGATGATGATGATGATGATGATGACACATTCTTAAGAAAAAGACCAAAGGGGAAAGAACTTCACGTTTAAGAACACTTCAGAGCACTTTTCCACCTTTTCTACTTCACACCATGGGCACATGTTGGTATTATCAAACCTTCTCTAACGTCCACCTGTATATAAAAAAACACAATCCTCCCTTCCTCCTTTCATTGAAAAAAATAATTATAATGACACTATCAAAGAGTATCACCTGTATAAGATAAACACTTTTCTCCTCAACAATAACTAGAATAATCGTCTTAGACAGGTTCTACCATATGTAGTCTCCATTCTTTGTGTTGTGTTTGCTCTTCTCATTGTGGGTGGTTGACGGAAGCCTTGGTGTGATTTTTTTCCCTTCCTATCCAACATCCACCGTTTTTTAAAAATGTGTTGTCTTTTTCGTTGTAATGCGCATTGAGCATTTTGTTTTAGAAAATGAAAATGCGCAGTGTAAATGCCATCTATTATTAATTAATTATTATTATTATTCTCTCTCCTCGTTCTGTTTTGTATGTCGCTCTGTACTAACGCCTCTAATCTTCGTCACTTAGGTAACCTAAGTCTGTTGCAAATGCCGTAAAACTCTTACTACAACTAAATTAGAACCCTCATTTAATGTCTGTCCTATTAGATACGATTACGAGGTTATCTTTTCGAACCGGGGTGAAAAAAAAAGAGAGAAACTGCTGTGAGACCACATGATTTCTTTGTATCTATATAGGCCAAACGCGTACCCAACTGCGGTCCGGGGGCGTATGGCTATAAATTAGAGGGGTTTTCCGGAGAGTTCTTTCATTGTGCGTGTCCGTGAGTGTGTGTGTATGTGTAAAACCTACGTGTGCGTTCTTATACGCAGTTGGTCTTACCGCGGACGACAGAGGACTCTCGTCTCTACAGGGTGGAGAGTCTTTTGATCTGACTCAACAAGGTACAGTAATTTTAAATGATAACATTTCTTTGTGTTAGAACCTTTTAGTTAGAAGCCCTTGGTGGAGGCTTTGAGGTTAAAACTTTTAAACGTGAAAGTAGGAAAATATAATACATATTATTAT